ATGGTAGTGCTATGAGTTGGGTCTGACTTGACAGTAAAAAACAACAACAACGACCATAATTGTGATGCAGATGGTAAAATATTTTTGGAATCATCAGAGGTGAACTTAATATGAAGCTAATAAAGTTTACCCTTCAATGTTCTCATTTATGAAACTCACTTTAATAATCTTGGATTTAAATTTGTATTTTAAATTGTATGTTATTTTCCTTTAAAACCACCCACTGCCATTTAGTTGATTCTGACTCATAACAACCCTATGGGACAGAGTAGAACTGCCTCCATAGGGTTTTCAAGGCTGTAAATCTTGAAGGAAGCAGACTGTCTTATCTTTCTCCCACAGAATGGCGGGTGGATTTCAACTGCCAAACTTTTGGTTAGCTGCTGATGCCTTAACCACTGCACCAACCACTGCTCCCTTTTCCTTTAAAAACGTCCTGCCAATTTTATGGAAGCTCTGGTAGCCTAAGGCATTTGACTACTAATCAGAAGGCTGGTGGTTCAAACCCGCCAGCCACCCCTCCAAAGGAACATTGGGCAATCTACTTCTGTAGTGATACTGCCTTGGAAACCATGAGTCGGATCTGATTCTATGGCAGTGTGTTTGGTTTTGGTTTTCAGTTTGGCCAATTTTATGTGCTTCAGGCCCCAGGAAACTTACCTGACTCTGCTTTTCCTGCAGTATTGTAATAACTAATTTGCTTTTGTGTCTTCTTCACAATGTTTTAGCTTCATGAAGGCAAGGGCAATGTTTTATTTCTGTTTCTTTACTATCTAGCACTTGGGAGATGCTCAGTAACATTTATTGCTTGTTTTGGAGTTAACTGGTGAGTGAGATTTTCTTTGCATTCATGCATCTTCATTATTGACAACTTTTTGCAAAGCTTTTTGACATTATTTTTAAAGCTTTATTTAAATTTTCTTAAGTTCTCCTTTTGGAAAAAAAAAAGTTATAAGTAACTATTTGCGTACCTTCCAATTCATTTCCTGTTACTGTCAATATGCATGTGTTTTACAAAATGCAGTCTATGATCACATGTTATTTTATTTAATTTTTTCCTTTTTAAATTTTTTCATGGAATATTTCCCAAATGGGAATTATTGAAAGAAATGGGCTATTGAAATATATTGGGCTAGTTTTGTAGATTCTAAGAGTGCTTCTAAAAGTTAAGCCTAACCAATGGACAATGTTATGGCCCATGATTGCCTTTATCTTCAATTGTCATTTAATATACATCTGCATTTTGTTTTTCTTTATTTCTCAAGTTACTTACTTATACATTTGTTATCTTTTTTTTTCAAGAGTTGGCCTATGTTGACAGATTGACATATATTTTTTAAGTGCTGATATACCCTATATGATAGATGTTCTAAGAACTGAATGTTGTTGTTGTTGTTATGTGCCGTCGAGTCAGCCGTGACTCATAGCAACCCCTCCTTGGGTTTCCGAGGCAGTATCACTATGGAAGTAGGATTGCCCAACCTTCCTTCCGAGGAGTGGCTGGTGGGTTTGAACTGCTAGCCTTCTGGTTAGCAGTCAAGTGCCTTAGCCACTATGCTACCAGAGCTCCCAAGAGCTGAATAGTGTACAATAAATTAATCACATTAAATCATGACAATAGCATAGTGGCTAAGGCACTTGACTGCTAACCAGAAGGCTGGCGGTTCAAACCCACCAGCCACTCCTCAGAAGGAAGGTTGGGCAATCTACTTCCATAGAGATACTGCCTCGGAAACCCAAGGAAGGGTCACTATGAGTCGGGGGCGACTCGATGGTACACAACAACAACATATCGTATAGTCTCTAAATAAGACAACTGAGGTTCATATTTTGGTTCTTAAGAAAGCCGAAATAGTTTTTTTTCCTTTCCCTCTCCCTTCTTCTGATCAACGCCAAGCTTTCTTAAAATGCAAAAGACGTTCCTTTGCTATGTCTTGTCTATAGAAATCAGTACTTTAAGTACAATCTTAAACTCTTGATAAGCCTCATACATGTTTTAACTATCAAAAATCTGAACTTTTATTTGATTAATCTTTTAGGTGGCCATCAATAATGTAATAAAATAAGCCTCTGAAAAATTAACATTAAATAACATAAAGTAGAAAGACATTTAAACAATGTATTACTCAAAAAAAAAAAAAAAAAAGAAAAATCGGCTTTTCAGTGAATCTCCTGACAACTCAGTAGCAATTAACAACTAACACATGCATACAGAATCTGAACTTAGTTCCAGGAAGTGGCCTTATGTTCATTTGGGTTTTCTTTACCTTTATTGAAAGGTCTTGCAACTACTATCATTGTGATTTTTTTCCCCTCTATCACATCTAACCAAGGAAAAAATAAGTATTAAATGTTCTCTTGTAGCCATCTTCCTTCTTCGTATTGATTGGTTCCCCTGCGTCTATGTATTTCCACAGGAATCCTGCTGTTCCAAAGTGGCCACCATGTTTTATTTTAAAGGTGCCTGCAATTTCAATAATCTCTTCTGTATTTATTTCCACTTAGATTTGGATGATTGTCAACTACAACTATAGGTTCATATAGATGGAATATTATCACAGAACTAAGGGTCTTCCAATTATCTTCACTGAAAGTTAGTGTAATTAATAAGTAATAAGCTTTTGGTAAGAAACTCTGGTGTCACAATGGTGAAGTAAAACTTACAGATCCTGAACAAAAACAATCAAACTGTAGTATTTCCATATACTGGGTTTTACTCCCAGCTTGTTTTATTTGGGAAGATCTTAAACTTTAAAATGTATTTCTGTTTCATCTCCTTTAATTGTAAAATAATTATATATACTTAGGACCTTGTAGTTATTGTCTAATAAGCTCTAACATGGTCACACATTGTTGAGATAAAATGTCATTTTTGAAACGGTTTCTCTTCCCAGGATTTTGATGTTTCCTGCTTGCAGAGCAGTGGCCCCTCCTGGGAAAGTAGAGTTATTTCAGTCAGCATTCAAACTCCATTTCACATTAGCCTCTGGGGAATATTACAGTTAGGTTCTGATGCGTTCATAATCTTTTCTATGCTTTTGCTGCTTTTATGGAGCAGTGAAACTCATATTTGATGTTTATTAGAAGGTTATCATAGGATATTTGGATATCAAACATTTAGAGTTATAATAATGGCAATACTACTAAGATACCTTTTAAGTACCAAATCAACTCAGCAGAGTTTAGTTGCTACCAGTTAAACTATATATTTTTATTATTGTTATTTTAGGACAGCTTTTAAATGAACCTATTTGCCCTCCCTTTTCCCACAGATACATACCAAAGAGGTACCCTAGATTTCACCTTTATTTAAATTGGGGCAATTAGAAAATATTCTGAGGAAGTTGTCTGTAAATAATGGTTCAGACATCATTAACCATGGAGAAAGGATAACCGAGAGCCAATCATTTTTAAAGAGAAGTAAGCAGATTTCATATGTCGTTTGTAAAACCTCCTCCTGACCACAACACAAGAAGAGTGTATCACTGTAAATTAACAGGCTAAGTTAGCCACAGCTATGGTCTAGTGATGTTAATGTTTTCTGTACACGGGGACAATTCTGGATTATCCCCTGGTCCTTTGCCTTTTTACTTTTGTTCTTTGCAGCAGGGTGCCAACATTTTCCTGTTTCCACTACTCTTTAGAATTCTCCACCAGAGCGAGGAAAAGGGAAGAAGTAGTTTTCACCTGATTATGGAGGAAAATTTGAATACCAGAAAGCTAATATTAATGAATGAATGGCCTCTTCTACTATCTGCCCATTCTACTTCTCCCTAGTTCTGATTCAGCAGAACTGACAGACTTCCAGGTAATTCTAGCTCTTAAACAGCTTTCTATCAGTTCTTTGAACATTAAGTTGTAATGAGAGAGAGTTTAGGCACCAATATAAAAGAGTTTTTTTTTTTTTTTTTCAAGGAAACGGTAGAGATGAGAATTCTGAAAGGCAGATTGTTAAACAGATGAAGAACAGGAATACACCTATATTAAAGGAACAAATCTATGCAGAGGTTGTAATCTGACCATCTTTAAGGTTCATTGAGTCCTTCCTGTGTACCCAGAACTGTCTTACACTCAAACTCCCTTTCACCTAGCGTTTACTTTTGCCTTACATGCGTGTTTTCATTTTTGTTTTTACTAAAGTGAAAAAGGACAAACCCCTAAACTCTCCCGAGAATACAGTAAACGTTACTGTTCCTTTTCAGGGTACTAGAGCTATAGAGTCTTAATTTGGAGGATGCAGGTGTCAGTTACAATTTTTTTTTTTCCCCCAACGTCTCTCCGAATTAATGGGAACTGGGCTCTGCCTGGCTACGAAGGACAGCGAGGAGCTAAAGGGGCTGGTTTCTTGGTCTTAGAATATCCTGGCCGCTCGGTTCGGTTCCCGCGGCCCTGGCGGCGGCAGCGTCTCCGTGCAGCTTCCAGTGCCCCCTATCGGAGGTTTCCCGCAACCGCTCCAAGTGCCGCCGCCCCCCGCCCGGCTGGGCTCGGGGAAGAAAAAGGGGCTGCTCCCGGAGCGCCGAGCCTAGGCTCCTCCCGGTGGCGTGTCCGCGCCTCGGGGTGGGGGTGTGGTGGGGAAAAGAGAGGGGGCGAGGCAAAAGGAGGGTGAGAAGGAGGCGCCAGCTTCCAACCTGCTGGCGGGAGGTGGGTGGCTGTGGGGCAATAGAAAAAGAGCCAACGAGTTCTCCAAAACTTGTCGGAACTCCTAGCTCGCGCGGAGAGTAGGAGCGGAGCGAAGGCAGCTGCCTGGGCCACTTAGAGCGGTGGGACGGTGAACGCCTCTCCCTCCTCGGGCTGCGAGGCCACGGGAGCCGACAGCAGCGAGAACCAACGCGACAGGAGCCGAGGACTTTTTGGGGCCATAGCAGCAGCCCCGAGAGCGACTGCAGGACGGAGTGACCGCCAGCCCCAGGTGGCCAGGACCGCACGCCGCGTCCGCGTCGCTGCCTGCAGGCGAGAGGAGACGCCTCCACGCAGCCCGAACGCCGCAGCCCGGGTGCTTCCTGTCCCCACAGAGGGACAAACTTTTCCCAAACCTAGTGCAAGCCCTTGAACCAAAGTTCTACTTCTTGAGCGCCGATTCACTGAGAGCCGTCTGAGTAGAGTGCGCACTTCTCTTGACGAGATGTCCGAGCGCAAAGAAGGCAGAGGCAAGGGGAAGGGCAGGAAGAAGGGTCGCGGCTCCGGCAAGAGGCACGAGCTCGCGGAGAGCGGTCCGAGCCCAGGTGAGTCCGCAGCGCGGCCGCGGTCCCGTTCTTTCTCCCCTTTTGGTGCCATCGCTTCTTCCTCGCCCGCCTGCGCCCTCCACTCTGGGCGTCTGGCTGTGCTCCCTCGGCGGGGCCGCCCATCACCTGGGCGCTGAGTCCCATCCGGCCGCTTGCGCCTGAGGCGCATGTTGAGAGGCAGTAGCCTAGGCCCGCGCCCTCTGACCGTCCGGAACGCCCTGCTCTCCTATGCACTGCCTTTTACCAGCCGCTCAGCAGCTAAGCCCAGTCCAGGAGCAGGACCTGGGGAGTGTAGGAGCAGATGCTGGGTGCGCGCGTCTCTCGGCGTCAGGAGGGTTTTGCACGGGCCCCGCCTGCCCTCTAGCGAGAAAAGCGGCAACGAGCCGCCGGGAAGGACCACCGGGTCTCCGCGCTAGGTGCCTAGCTCCGAATGGTCAAGAAGGGGATGGTCAAGAAAAGAGGCCCTGTGGACAGCTGCTCATCAGTGTTTAGGCAGAGCGGGATGCGATGCAAAGTAGTGGAGTGCTCATGTTTTTACCCAGATTCATTCCTTCGATGTTGGAACTCAGCAGAGACAGATTCCTTGAGGTCAGCGAAGCCAGTATAAAATCTAGTCCAGTGCCAGGATTCAAGTCCGCTCCAAATAAGTTTTCCAAACTTTTGGCTTAGCAGTTCTATTTTTCCGAATGTCCTTGATAAATAGGGTTTATTGATATTCCCAAGAGACGTTAGAATACAAGTTTATTTAAATTTTTAACCCAGTTTACTGGTTATATATTGAATGAAATGGCAATTGAGGCTCTCTAGAGACAAATATTTGATAATCAGAACATGGACATGAATGACAGCTTTACCTTAGATTTCCTTAAGAAGTGCTGATGCTTTAGACATTGTCTTGAGCAAGGGAGGTATTCCAGATAAATATTTGTTTATCACAAAAAGGGAGGAGGGAGCATGAGGGTCCCCTCCCACCAGCTTCTGCAGTTCTCAGCTAGCTGGTTTAAATCACTTTGATTGTACCCCAGCGCATGTTTTATAAAGTAGTTCGGAAGACTTAATCCAACAGCTCTTTGTAATACTGTGGCTGAAGAAGATAAGTATTTGACTGTTCCTTGTAGGAAGAAACAGGATTTTCCTAGTCTTTTTATTGGCATCACTGATAGCGTTTTGGAACCTGGGATGTTGGAGGACACCCTATATAGGTTTTGAGAAAAAGAAGAAATCAGAGAAGTTGTTTGGCCTGTGGCCATTCACAATACCATACTGCTGATCACATTCAACTTAATTGCCTGTCATTAGCCCTCAGGAGGGTGTTTCTTTACTTTTTTGCCCTATGTTTTGGACATACAATATAGCATTTTATTCAGTAAGGTGTGGAATGAGGAGCTGGATTACCAATCTCATTAAGTGACTTTTTGTTTTTAATGTCCTTCTTAAGGAGGTCAGAGTAAATTAAATAGACCTTAAACCTGATCCAAACCGTAAAGTAGTAAGGAGTTATTTGAGCTATTTGTGGTGGTATTCTACTGTCTTGTCCATCAATGCCTTGCTTTCACAACTTCCTGTAGTCTGCTGTCAATAGTCTAATGAATTAATCAACAGACATTGGTTTGAAGTAGCATTACTTTCAGGTAGCATGTTTGCATTTTGTCAGAAGTTTCAGTCATAGCAGCAATACTTTAACACTGATATTTTGAATAAGCAGGTATTCAGTGGGGGAGAGATTTAGGAATAAGCAGGCGTTTCTGTGCCCAGAAGATCTTACCTACAAGATAGGCAGCTGTTTTACGACTAGCTAATCCTCTCTCGAGGACCTCTGGTGGCACAGTGATTAAGTATCCAGCTGCTCACTGAAAGGTGGGTGATTCAAACCCACCAGCTGCTCTGCAGGAGAAAGACTTGGTAGTCTGTTTCTGTAAAGATTTCAGCGTTGGAAACTATCAGGCAGTTCTACTTTGCCCTATATAAGACTGCTAGGAGTTGGAATCCACTCCATGGCAACAGGTAATACTCTTTTTTGACTTTGAAAGCTTCTTTGTGACTCTCATTCTGCTTTCTAGCCTCTGTTAAGTGACATTCCCTGTCCTACCTTTCTGGGAAAAATTGGAATGACTTGGCTTTAGACTGGTTTTTAGTGTACTTCTTTTTCTTTGGGGAAGAATTTTTTACCATCCAAGGTACTGTGCACTGGTTAAACTATATATGAATATTTATTCTTGCTTTGATTTGAAAAGAATGATCCTCTTGAGGCTAGCTTTATGTAAAAACCTCCCAGATGCTGTGGAATCCATTCTTACTCATGATGACACCACGTGTATCAGAGTAGAACTGTGGTCTATAGAGTTTCAGTGGCTGAGTTTTGAAAGTAAATCTTTAGGCTTTTCTTCCATGGTAGACTCAAACTCCCAACTTTAGGTGAGCAGCTGAGTGCATTAACCATTAATACCACCTAGAGACTTTTATGTAAAGGCTCATGATATTAAATAGTATAACTTTGAAATCAATGGTTTTTCTCTTTCCTTATCCTTACCATTAAAATGTAATTGTCAATGTACTTTTCCTTAGGAGCTTTGGAGAATAAATAAAGGATAGTCATAATGGCTTTCAGTAGACAACTATAGGTATTTATCAGCCTTTTTGCACTCTTTAGGGCATCTTCATCCTCACGGGAACAATTTCTAGATTCCGTAACTGTAGTATGGCTACTTGCCATGCTGGCCAAAATTATGACTTATGAGGACACCCATCTCTTGAATTGCTCCTGTATTAGTGCCCTTCAATCCAAGTTTCACCTAAAACAACCACTGAAACTATACATCCTTGATGATCCATACTCAACAGCCAAGCCTCTCTTTGGATGTTATAACATTGCTTCATGACACTCAAGGGAGATATAATGCTGAGGGAACCCAGCCACTTAGCCTGCTGCGTGCTATATCATAAGCATAGGCATAAACACATCTGTTGGAGGGAAATTTTCAGGGGAAAAGAGTTTCTTAATTTTCCTGTGACATGTGTAACTGACATGTGATACATACATGGCTGTGTTTCACAGCACTCACCTTTTTATGCAATTAACTGAAGATTGAATTGCGCATTATTGGGGCTGCAGATGTTTAACAGAATTATCTATTCCATAGTAATGGTTCAAAGCCCTTGGGGTCATTGATTTCCCTTCTTTGTTTAAAATAAGCAATTTCAGCAAAATCTTGGGCTTTGCATCATGTATCCATGCACCCAGGGTTCAGTAATATACTGGGCCTCCTATATGCTAGACTTCCCATATTCATGCTCCTAAAAGTGACTCAATTCTTCAGCTCAACAAACTTCTTATTTTGAAGCCTGAATTATAAAACCAGAGTTGCCCCCCCTTTTTTTTTTGCCAGTTGGCATGTGACTGTGAGACTATTTGTTGATATCTTTTTCTTTAATTAAAACACAATTTTGCAAAGGATTCTTTTCCTTTTTTCACTCTTAACAACCTGGAACAGATTCATGATCAAGCCTAGTTCAGTTTTAGAACTACTGGGACTCTTTTCACCCCAGACAGAATTGTCATTTTTAAGTACAGGTGGTAGAAAAATTGAGACACTTCTATCCCAAATGGGTAGAAACAGGCTGTTCACTCCCCGGATGACATCAGCCACCTGTTTTGTTAACTAAGCGGCTCCACGGGCCACTTATTAACGTTCTTGGGCATAAAGTGCCCTGTCACAAACAAGGTGGCATGCATTTATGGAACAGGAGGAATGTCCAGTTGTCTGTTTCAACCTGGTTACTTATAACCGTTTACCTTATGTAGTTATGAAAAACATTAGAAATTATTTGCAGAATGAAATATGACCTGTTTGGAAGACTTGAAATAATTGGAAGAGTGGGAGAAACTTGGTATACTGTTCTCATATCTGAAAAATAATACTGATAGAAAATTGGGAGGAAAAAATATATAATGTATATCAGAAAATATTGGAGCAGTATGTGAACACCTTACTACATTCCAGGCACTATCCTAGGTACTTTTATATTCATTAATAAGGATAACAACAACAACAACAACAAAAACCAAACCCACTGCCATCGAGTTGATTTTGACCTATACCAACAGAATAGAACTGCCTCCATAGAGTTTCCAAGGCTGTAAATCCTTAGGAAGCAGAGTGCCTCATTTTTCTACTATGGAGTGCCTGGTGGGTTCAAATCACTGACCCTTTGTTTAGCAGCTAAGTGCTTTAACCACTATACCTCCAATCCCCTTGAATAAAGGTAGCTACTGTTTATTGAATTACCATATTACAGGCAGTAAAACAGATGCTTTGTGTATTTTATCTCTGTTCTTTAGAAAGCATGATACTAAAACCAAAAAATCAAACTCACTGCTGTCGAGTCAGATATGACTCATAGCAACCCCTCCTTGGGTTTCCGAGGCGGTATCTCTACAGAAGTACATTGCCCAACCTTCCTTCCAAGGAGTGGCTGGTGGGTTTGAACCACCAGCCTTCTGGTTAGCATCAAATGCCTTAGGAACTATGCCACCAGCGCTCCCAGAAAGCATGATAATGCCTCATGATTAGGCAGTTAGAGACAGGATTGCCTAGTTCTTAGATCCCTAGCTCCTAGTTTTACCCTCCCTTAACTGTCATGTCTTGGGGAAGTTACTTAATCTTTCTGTGCCTAACCTACCTTATTTGAAAAATGGGAATAATAATATATATATGAAATACAAAAAAAACAGGTGTCGTTCAGTAGCTCCAACTCATGGTCCACCCCATGTGTGTTGCCTTGGAACTGTGCTTCATACAGTTTCAATGGCTGATTTTCGAGGATTTTCTTTCAAGGCCCCTCTGGGTAGACTTGAACCTTCAATCTCTTGGTTAGCAGCCGAGTGTGTTACCCTCTTATACCAAGGTCATTGTGAGGTTTAAACAAGATAATCTATGAACTGCAGTCTGAACATTGGCCAGCATGTAGTAAGTACCCAAATATGTTAATTCTTTTTATTA